CACATCTCCATCTGTTTCACAGCGGCTTGCAGACGGCAACGTGCTTTTCACCCATACTGTCTCATTTAGTTCTCTCACCACAACCTCGTGAGGTGGAGCTCTTCGTACTTTACGGGATGGAACTGCGAGATGTTAGGCCACTTGCCCCATGTCACGTGGCTTGCGACAGGTGACACCCTAACTCCAACCTGGGTCCAAAACGGTGCAGAGTGCAAGAGAAGCAAACATGTTGGCTTCAGATTTCTAGTGAAATGAAGAAATGGCCTTTGTTTATCTGGTCTGTTCACACACACACAAAACAAAGGTGGCATTTATGGAATATTTTTGCTACAAATTTCTAGCCTTTTTAGGTTTTTTAAGCATATTTCACCAAAGTTTGCACCTAGTGTTAAACTAATCAGCAGCTGTGAGGCTGTATAAATACTCACGTGAGCAGTGGTTATGTGAACAGTTGATGGAACCAGTTAGAGTCTAATTGGGTTCTTCTCTTCAGAGACATTCCAGGGGTTCTCACCTGTCATTTGAGAAAATTCCTTATATCCCTTGGGTGAAGGTACTGATAAACCCACACAGAATGTAGACTTTTTGGATATCATTAGGAAAATTTCTGACCAAGCAAGACCATGAAATAATTGAGGTGGTTTGTGATGCTTTAAACGTGTTACTGCGTTTCTATTCGCTAGGTGGTCACAAGTATCACCCAGTCTGTCAGTTTTATGTCCTGGTCCTAATCAGACAGTAACATATTAGAGAAACAGCCCAGTCTGGTCTCAGTCTTTCATTGAAATATGCATTGCTCTGTGGTTTCACACAAATTTATTTTAAGGGTTAGGACTTCCCTTTATCAGAGCAAGAAAAGCCTCGTTTCCTCTTATCCTAGGCAATTCCGTTTTATTTGGTAACTGTGAGTCAGCAGATTTTTATAGCTTAGAGGGACTATTTCCACTTTAAAAAAAAAAAACAAGTTAATTGAGTAGTTTGAAAACACATTCTTATGTGTATTATTCTTGTTGGATTATTGATGTTGACTTATACTGTGGTGGTGCTCTGGCAGAAAAGAAATGAAACAATAGTCATAAAAAAAAAACCAGTAAATTTTAGCCCCGTTAAAATGGCCATTATTAGTATTTAGCAGGTCCTGCCCTCGACTTAAATAATGGCTGCTTAGAGTCCGCTCGGACATGGTGTTTTTCTGCCTGGAAGAGATGGCTGTGTTTTGTGCACTTGTCTGGAAGTCATGGTGATAAGCCCCTCCTAATGTTCTACTAGGTTAATCTTTCCTATACCATTAGCAATTGTAATAATTCATGCACAAATTAGCCCATAATTAGATTTACTATTGTGGCGCACAGATAAATTCAGGATGAAGTGAAAATATTGAAGCCAGAGCCATTTTATGAAGACTTTTAAAGAGCTTCCCCTTGTGTGGTCGAATTTGATAAACTGCTAAAAAGTACTAGGCATGGAAATGTGTAGAGTTATTTTGTTGTTACGACCTTTATTTACCACTCAGAAATGTCTCAGTCAAAATTTCATGGAATGGTGATATTTTGTATAATAGCTATATTGGGATATAAATCACATGTCATTCAACATACCCATTTAAAGGGTACCATTCACTGATTTTTAGTGTATTCACTGTTTTGTAGCTATCAACACAATCACTTGGAACTTTTTCATCACCACCCCACTGCCGCCACCAAAAAAAAGAAAAATCCTGCTCTCCTTAGCAGTCACTTCCCGTTTACTCCAGCTCCTCCAGCCCTTGTCAGCAACTCCTCCTCTGCTTTCTGTTTCGGTGAATTAGTCTCTTTTGGACGTTTCACATTAATGTAATCACACTTTCCGTTAGTGACTAATTTCATTCACTAAGCTTATATTTTCAATATAAGCCTGAATCAGTATGTTATCCCTTTTTATGGATGAATATTCCATTGTATGGCTGTACCTTCCTTTTGTTTTTCTGTTCCCTATTAGTGAACATTTAGGTTATTTCCACTTTTCAGCTGTTATGAATCATGCTGGCCATAAATATTTGTCTATATGTTTCTGTGTGGACATAGGTTTTCTCTTGGGTAATATACCTAGGAGTGGATTTGCTAAGTCTGTGTTAACGTTTTAAGGAATTCCCAGATTGTTTTCCAAAGTGGCTGTACCATTTTACATTCCT